ACCCGGCGGCCCTGACGATCGACTCTATTCGGCCTCTAGCATGATGATCTCCGTGAGGCTGAGAGCTTGTGTTACTTATTCATATAGCATTCAGCGGTCCGCTTTGGCCGAGCTTACAAAAATGGTGGTTTACCTCCGAAGCCCTCAACAGGTGGCTGTATGAACACACACCGCCAGAGCTACCGGTATCCATCTACCCCTTGGGACTGGAGATGGAGGGCCCAGGCACCCTGACAGGCCGCGAGCTGAAGTGGCGGCTGGAACACCACGGGTGTGATTGTGCACTGGTCCATGCCCCCAGTCACTGGATTGCCCTCGTGAAATGCGCTGAGGGGCAGTGGTATGAAGCAGACTCTATCCCGTTCGGCGTCAACGGAAACAAAATCAAAAAGATGACCGACGCTGACTGGGAGTATGGTGCGACCACGGGGGGATGGAGCGTCAACGTACTGGCCCCCATCGACGCCGCCCGCGCCCAAATGATTGGGGCACAACCTGGCAGAGGAGCGGGAGGGGCAGAGCGCCCCCCCGCGGACTTTGAAGCGGTGCCGCTTGCCCGGCTGCGGCCAGCCGTTAGCGCAGCCCCCACCCGCAGCGCTGGGGCGAATGCGATGCCCACGAATGCGGCCATCGCACGCCGCGCAGACATTGAACAGCGCGAGGCCTCAGAACTGCACAGCCGCAGAGACGCATCAAGAGAAATAACAAACCGCACGGGTTCGCGGGGGACTGAGCCCGCCGCGACCCATGAGGAGGGGCAGCGTCAACTGATGCCGAAGACCGCCGTCGCCCCTCAAGCCGCGAACGAGGGCGCAGCAGCGGCGGTCGTGGGACGCGCGCCTACTCAGCAGGGGCCGGTGCTGAGGCCAAAACGACGCGAGTTCGCCCTCAAATATAGTGCACCAGCCCATAAGGGGGTCTCAAAACATGCAGGTCAGAAACGACGGATGGTTATTCAAACCGACGCGCGCCAGAAGCGCATCACGGACCTCTGGAAATTCAAGGCAATACCAGCTGCGGCACTCGTGCCTCCTACAGCAGGGGTGCATGAGACTGCAGAGATAGACGGTAGGGGCAACGCCACAGGCGAGCCGCGCAAGCAGGCTCACGCAACCAAAGCACCCGCCCCAGTGCCCGACCCAGCACCTGCCGCTGGTGGAAGGAACTCAGCAAAGAAAGAACGCCAGCGTATGCGGCGGCGGGCAGCTCGCGCG